TATATATATATATTTTTTTTTTTTTTTCCCTAAATACCCCCAAAAATGTACCGATGCCGCTGAGAAGAGGTCGTCGTACACAAAACTTTTACAATGGCTGTTTCTAACGGCCTCATTTTGGACTGCCTCAAGCAATCCAATTATTATGGCAGGTATATGTTGCGTCAGTTTTGTGTTAGTATGCACAATGTACATCTATCTGAATCACGTGAGGTGACGTTTCTGAGGTTTTTCTATTGCTTATATTTTCCTCATCAGCGAGGGTTGCCCACAGAAGTCACAGACATGCCTGTACCTGCGGAATAGGCCGGGTCCGCTATGAAGGCTTGCTGTTGAGGGTCTTCGGCCTGCTATCAGCGTCTCTGGTCACATGACGGCCACACTTTCTAGCTTTTAGGTTCAGTTGGCTGCTTTCGTTTAACTAATCAGATCATTACAATTGCTTCCAAGTATGCGTCAATGACATTATAGATCATCGTACATATTCTGATGACTGAGCGTTTCTATAGGTTATTTAGAAATTTTAGTGGTGGTAGATTTGTTACTCGGTGACTTTTGTATGTACAGAATATGTACAGCAGAAGTTTTCTCCTATCAATGGCTTTCCTAACAGGAAGAACGAATGCAGTCAGCCGCACTTTTACTCACTCTGGGCAAAAACAGTTGACTCCGCATCGTATAGTCAATGTTGTTGTTGTTGTTGTTGTTGTTGCTGCTGTTGTTGTTGTTGTTGTTGTTGTTGTTGTTGTTGTTGCATCAAATACTCTTCACTTTTCATGCTTGTTCAACTATTGCCGATGTTAATGCGGTAATTGACACCGTTTATGACGATAAAATCCGATCATTGCTCGAAAATACGTTTGTTTTTATTTCTGATATGTCTTCGCAGATACAGTGTTATTATTACTAGTAAAAGGCGGTAACGGGACTGGTCATTGGATTAAATGGCGATACTTCATAAAGATTAATAATTACTGCTATAATTATCGTTACTTGTAAAGACGATCACGATGGAGCACAAAGTGAAACGGGCTAACAAAGATGACGGCATAGACGAATTTTCCAGTCTTCGTTTCGTGCATGTGCCGATGTTTTCTCAACAACCACTTATTCGCCAATCAACAGCATCATCATGGACGTGTCACATCTTTATCAGCTACTTGCGACGCGACCGTCGTTGCTGTGTCCCTATGTGCTGCTTGTGGGTGGCGATGGAGATCGACTTGAGCCGTCATTCTTCGCTAGTGTCCTGCTTCCTGGACCTCCGTCCGACTTGACAGACAACAACTTCATTGGGGTGGCAGCTACAGAGGCACCCCCACTGGGGTTGCTGGCCTGTCCAGCGGATTGAGCCTGGCCTTGAACCTGTGCCTGAGTGGAGGCCTGACTAAATGGGCCTGATAGAAGTCGTGGAGGTGGAATATGTGCCGACATTCCAGGGATAAACGGCGGAGGTTGAGTGCCTGACAGGCCCAGTGCGAAGGCGGCGGCGGCTGCTGGCAGGAGCGCTGGACGTGCGGCAAGCCGAAGCTTCTCGATTTCGGCTTCTTTCAGCCGTTTTTCCTTCGCACGTCGGTTCTGGAACCAAATCTTCACTTGGGTCTCAGTGAGGTTGAGCGACGAAGAGAATTCGGCCCGTTCCGCTATTGACAGATATTGCTTGGCCCGAAATTTTCGCTCAAGTGACAACAACTGTTGGGTCGTGAATGGCGTACGAGGTTTTCGGTTATTTTTGTGCTTTCGCAAGGCGCATTTCATTGCCTGTGGAGGTATCTTCGGTAGCTCGCCATTTTCTGAAACAACCAGTAAAGACAGAGATATATATATATTCATTGATTAATTGATGTCGATTATGCATGCACACTGCTAGTGAAATTTTAAAAAAAATTATAAAAATTTTTGAAAAATCTAATAGAAACTGAAAAAAGTTAACCGACAAATTAATACCACTGCAATGGCAATACGTGGCTTACTGCAGGACAAACGCGAGCTTCGCTGGGAGAAACGCTAACATCGAAGCACATTCGAATCGTTTCTTTTTGATTAGCACAAGCCGTTTTGACGATCTGAATACTAATGCAGACCTACATTATTATTGATAAATGAGGCCAGTTAAAGAACAATGATCCGTACAACCGTAGCAACACACTATAACTCATAGCTATTATGTTACCAACCTATACGCGTACTGAAGATGATTCACAAACGCCATTTTCACTGTTGTATTATAAAATTACTTGATTTAAATTTGCGCGCTATTACTACGGTGCTGCCATCGATCAACAACACCAAGCCGTTATCCCATTACCAACGGCTGCACCGCATCAATAGCTGACCTTTATATTAAAATGGTAATGATTTGTCGTACTACGCCCAATATCAACTATTATTATTACAGAAGTATCTATTTTTTGTAATTATTACACAATAATTTCGCTCTTTCCTACGCTGTTTGCCAATTCTCCCAGTGTGCGCTCACTTGTAAACACCATTTAGATTTAACCTCTGCCAGTTTTTGGTAAGTTTACTTGTGTAACACAGTCATCACGACCATTGCAATAGTACAAATACTGCTGCTATTACCACGGCAGGGTATTGCTCAGAATGCCAATATTGTTAGTTATGCTAGATAATATTATTATGATAAAGATGGTGATGACGACGGTCGTGCTTCTATGGCGGATTCGAACTTTCAAAAAAGCCGCGGCCCTATCACCTCTCGCCATAAAACCACCCTTCCCAGCGCACACAGCAGCCATACGCTCTCACACGCCCCCCTTACAGAGTCACATCAGCAAAGTACACAAACCAATGAAAAGATCCAACAGAGGGCGCGCTGACTCGTGTGCGTGATATCTGCACGAGTTTATTCTCCTCAGCAATTTTCCATAACCGTGCGTAATGCCTTTACCGCGAAGTGATCGCAGGGTATGGTCGACTGCCTCTCTCGCCTTCTTTTCGAATGCCTATTTTACGCCATGACCAACAAGTTGACGTGTTTCGTTCTAGACGTAACCTCTCCCTTCGTTCGTCCATCGTCGTTCGCTAGTCTTCGACCCGATCACAAAGTAAATATCGTCTCCATGCGTTCGGTCATGTGTGGTCTACATATGTTTGCCTCTCACTGACTCTCGCCAGTGAACGATCGGAAGAGTGGAAGACCTTTATGTCAGAAGCTCTTTTTCTATTGTTTTTTTTTCTTTTCTATACAGTATATAATAATGTACTCTTACGTAGCAACCCTTATACAGACTAACACAGACGCACACACACGACGCTCTCGTAAAATCCTGTTGATTCATTATCTGTATGTGGCGGTGCCCTTTCGCGGGCAAAAACCACGACGGTGTCGATAATGGTGCCGACGAAGTGCAGGCTATGAGTAATATGCTAAAGCCTGCATACGACTGTTTGCTTCGGTAAGCCAAAGCAGACATCATATTCCCTTGTACTTTGAACCGATGGCGATGTAGTCATTTAGCGGCCATGCAGCACACAAAAAATTACGAGCTCTACTAGTCATTGTTTGTCGTCTATATTATTCCCAACATACAGCTAGATCTGTCTGTTTTAGAATCTCTCTGTTCGACTTTCGAGTAACCGCTTTTGACGTTGTCGGTAGAAATCGCGGTCTGTGCGCGGTTGTGGTGCGTTGTACCAGTCGGCTTGCTAGGGGCGGGAGGTCTACCGATAGACGACGGTTTGTGCTATCGACGACCATCTTCTCTTGGATGCTGCCATCGGGGGATAGTTTTTAGTAATGATAATAATAGTTTTGCCCTCTTCTCGCGTTGCTTCGCTGCGCTGTGGCATTGTTCATTATCCTTCATTTTCCATTTTTGCTCTGCCTTCCTTTCTCTCGATTCCGAGGTTGATGCCTGCGTTCAGCCGTCCGTGTTCGCCTACTTCACAGCTATTCATCCTTAAGTGGCAGTTTATGCGTGAGCTTGACTAATGTCGCAACCGGCCCAACACAACGCCGCTGGGTGACCAGCAGTTCTGCATCTGTGCTTCGCGGCGTTTGCACACGGGTTTCGTCACTCGGGACTCCTCGATGACAACGATGATTTGAACAATGACGGCGACTTTTGTTTTTGCCCGTCGATACTGCAACATTGTATAGCGTAAAGGCGTCTGTTGTCCATAGCTATAAAGATATATGACATATATTAGATCCCGGACAAAAGTCGTTTGCTGAACCGCTGATTGCTAGTATTATTTGATTTCCGTTGTTGGTCCGCCGCCTGGTCCGTTCAGTCCGATGGGCGGCCCAAATAACGAAGCGAAAACTGCACAGCAGTGCAGTGTACGAGATTATATTTATATTAGCACATATCGGAAAATATTATTATTATTACTCGACGAGGGACCCTTGTCGCACGTCTGAACATCGCTGTTCATTCGGCGATGCCCTCGCTGTGTGTAAACAAAATAAACGACGACGATGACGACAGTTACCATGCACTTTCAATGATAACCCTATAACCAGCGACATATACAGCCGTTTGAGCGAATATATTTATTATTCTACAGGTAATAATGCCTGTGTCCACGGTGTTATGACGATGAGCACGCTGTTTGCCTTCAGGTACGAATGCTAAACGAATATATTAGTCAAATTCGTGGGATCATATGCTAATATGGATGCAAATATGATACCAATAGATCGTGGCGCACAATTCAAACGATCTATCAACACCCCCTAGGGTCAGTATCTGTAACTATAACAATAATCATAGAAGCTCTTTCTGATATAATAATGGCGCCATATAATAAAAACGCATATATATATAGGTTATGACAGCACTCCGGTTGTTCTACCGAGTGTCAACAAAAGCGATTATAAAATTATAGATGGGCGTAATAACAGTGAAGATGTTTATCATTAGAACTGAGATTCGTGTCCGTTTTCAAGTCGTTACCACAAAAGCTGGCTTACTACAACGTCGAAACGGATATAAGAAATTATCGAGGCCAGAAGTGGTCTTAAATTTTTTCGTACTCAAAATTCAATATCTGCCACTGTTAAAGCGGTTCACTTGTGCTTGTGATTATAAAAAAGTACACTGCGGTTTTATTAATACTACCTGTATTTGCACGATCACGGCCTTTAACAGCTAACAAAAATAGTTATTGAATGAGTAGTGTAGAATAAAAATCGTGTAAATATATTTAGGAATTATATTTTGATCTTCATATATTGCGTCTCAAAATGCCACCACATGACAAGATGGGGCATTTAAATTCTTGCTTTGGCAAACATTCTCAGTGCTAGAAGAACAACAGTATGTCATTTCTGGGCTTGGAATGAAGGTTATCTATTAAACAATCCCACAGAGACTAAGCTTCCTTTTATGTCCGAGATCGACGGACCACTCTATTATCAGTTTTTATGAGGTGAGACAAATTAGAAAATCGTCAATAAGACTCTAAACTGCATCAAAATGGCCCAAAGAGCCGTTTCGACATAGAAATTCATGGTGATTTTTTTAAACTTTTTGTATTTTGGCACTTTTAGGAATTTCGGCCTGTTATCAATCTACACAGGCTACATAGTTTCAAGGAATTCACTCTTATTAGTATGGAGCAACGCGTCGCTACCATGAGGAAGGGTATTTGCGGATTACATAGAGAATATTATAAAAATTACTAATGGACAATATATGTCCTAAATTGAAGACGCAATCACACCTAATAATAATAACTAGATCATATATTAGGTCATAGTATGTGCGAAATAATTCGCTGGAATATTTGTTTCTCGTTCAGAGACAATTTTTAAGGGAAAATCCATATTTAGACACCTGCATCACCCTGCATGTTTTAAATAGTATATCGGGCAAATGGCTCAAAACTAGCAACTATTTCCTTTGTTCCCATTTATTTTTTGCCCAAAAATTGATGATAATTACTCAGTATCAGAGCAATCATACATATACATATATATCTGCTAGTTTGGATATAAAAGACTATTAAAGCCATACAGACGCAGACTACCCTTGTTGGAACTACCAGTATTGTTTGAGGTGTCCAGTCGCTGTTAACGTGGCTACCGGCGCTAGAAGCAACTAAAAAAAAAGGTCGCCGCCAAGGGACTAGTCCCGTCTGCATAAGGTACTTGACAGAAAAGCGAGGAGCGACCGCTTTCGTATATATAAGAGTAACAATAGTCCAGCTCTGGACCGTAACGACTCTATACTGTGTGATGATGGAAGGTCATGAAAACAATATATAACCGCAAGGAGGGAGGCGCTTTAACAAGGACGCTCAACCCTTAGGACCGAACGCGGAGGGTGCAACCGTTGGTAAAGACGGCCGAATACAATAGTCAAGAATCTTCACAGCCAATAGTTAAGATACCGCTAAAGTATAAAGATCAGAGTAGTTAATTCATATATTTTTAATCATCGATGAACTATCTAGTCGTTTACAAACAAGTTATTTACTCGTATACGTATCTTCTGATCAAACACAGATACGAGCTATAAGAAAGCAAACTCTTTCTCGAAATGAAACTATATACGAAGGAAGTTATACGCCAGATTTAAATATAATCATAATAATACAATCTCCATATAACTTATGGATTAGTATACTATTCGTATAATTTGAATCAAAGATAAATAACTGTAAGATTTATTAATTAATGCGCAAAAACACTCATCGAATTGGCGCCGTCTTCAGGAATTAGCATTCGTTTTGAATTATTGCTTTTTGTTTTCGAAATTGCACAAGTTGGAATTGTGAAACTCTTATGGGGTTACGTAACTTCAGTTTTAACAGATCTTAAACA